CCCCCCAAATTGACTTTCTCATGATTTTTAGTCATTGCATATATGAGTTTGATTCACAAAAATAATCATCTCATTTTTTTCTCAAAGAAGGACTTGCTTTACATTGGGGATAAACATAGAGTAGGAAGTAATCCTGTATTTTCCTCCTAGTTGATGGAGGAAGAAAGGCCTTGCTTTGTATTAATTGGATCCTTGAAATTCCCTCAGGGTAGCAGTGTCTCTCTGTGAACACAGAGCTCCCCTACTCTTTAACGCTGAGTCTACACTGAGGGGCCGCAGCAGTTTGTCTAAAACTAAATGCAGAGGACTAAGCAAAAAGAACCTTTTCAGACTACGAGTCCTGGGGTGAAGCTATAGAATAAGCACTGAACTGCTAACCACAAGGTTGGTGGTTCAATTCTACCAACCATTCCTCAAAAAGCCTATAGGGTCGCTATGAGTCAAATACACTTGGTGGCACTTCACAACAAAACAAAGGTTAACTAAATGCTAATTCAGCCCTGTGCTTCTCCCTGCCTATACAGTCAGAGAGAAGATAGGATACTTTTCTAAACACCAGTGTCCCTAAGTTCCAAGGAGATGTTTTGCCTTTGTTTGGAGTGGGGAAGTCAGATGTGATCTTCCTTGCAAAGTTCTGGCCCCTGCTTCCCTTTCTGTTTCTAGCAAAGAGGATTTAAACTAGGCTCTGGGTAGCTCTATTTCCTCATTCTCATTCCTCTTTCTAAGCCTTTCGGAGCCCTAGGCTTCACCATTTACCTCTACCAAGGAACTGCATGCATCACTTAAGGGTGAGCAAAAGAGACCTGGATACAGACTTTCTGCATACCCATGGAAACCTACTTCCCCTTCCTGTCCTGAAGTGCAGGTGCCCAGGAAAAAAAGCAGCGAGGTACCGCTAGTGTAGATACGGCCACTGCTGCATGCCCGGAATGTCGGGGAGAAGAGGAGAACGCGCCTATGCTTTCCATGTGAACCTGCAACCTATCTGCTTGCTGCCCAGGTGTGGGTTCTCCACTGCGTGCTCCCCACTGCAGCAGAGAGCAGACGCAGCATCTTCCTCAGCCACCGCCGCTGCTGTGGAAGAGTCCTGGGGCTGCTGACGCGGTTGGGAGGAGCCTCGCCTTTAATGCACCAACCGCCTCCAGCCTCCTCCTGCAGCAGAAGCAGCAGCAGCAGCAGCTGCGAGTGTGCGCGCGTGTGGGTGTGAGGGTGAGTGCGCTGGCGCCGGCCGCAGCGCCCAGCCCAACTCCCCGCCGGCTTCTCTAGCCCCCGCCTGCCGAACTCACCCTCCCGTGGGACCAGCACCCTCATCTGGGCCGAGCCAGCCTGAATCCTGCCCTTGCCATCTCGTCACTGCAGCTAAGGTCCAGAAAGGCACCATTTTGTCGTGGCTGTCCGCTCTCCCGGGTGGAGGAGGGATCTTTTTTTGCATTTTGGAGCAGCTGCCAACGAAGGGAACCTGTTGGGCATCTCCCCAGCCCTGCTTGTGAGCGCCTCCTGGGCGGGCGGGCGGGAGGGACCAGACCCCTAGGGGCACGGCACATCTTCGCATCTGTGGAGGCAGCAGAGGCGCAGCATCCGCGCTGGGAATTGGAGCTGGAGTGAGCGCACCGCAGGAGGAGCACCGCAGCTTCTGAGAACCCGAGTGGAGGAGGTGACAGCTCCATTGCCGGGTTTTTATTTTTTCTCTCTCTCCGCCTCCCCGTCTCCTCTTCAGGCTCGGACCATGGTGCCGTCCCACTGGCTCCCCTGCCCCCCTCTCCTGTGAAATTGGCTGCGGGGAGGGATCATGGATACTTGTCTGCCGGCTTCTGGTTCCCACGCAAGTAAGCCTGCTGTCAATGGAGGAGGACATTGATACCCGCAAAATCAACAACAGTTTCCTGCGCGACCACAGCTATGCGACCGAAGGTAACGCCAGCTCCACCGCATTCCGCTGGGGCCGGGCGCAAGTTGCGGATCGCTGTGCTTCGCGGGAAGCTGGGCGTGTAGTGGCTGAGATACCTCCGGGCCAAGGGCTAGGGAGGGGACTCGGCTCCCAGGGGCTGTCGCTGGCGAGCCCCACATCCATCGGGGCTCTGCCAGGCGAGCTTGGCGTTCAGCAGCAGGTGGACCGGATCCCATGGGAGTTAAAAAAAAAAAAAAAGCCCAAGCCCTTGGGGGTTAGGCTTTTCAGGGTGGGGCCACCAGCCGGAAAAATGACCCCAGAAAGACATATGATCCTCTCCCCGAGATGCTTTTAGTGGGCTTAGGGGACGATAAGGAGGGAGGGGCCCCGAAGGACCACAGGTCCGCCCCTCCCTGAGCAGAATGATGTTGTCTCTCTCAGTGACTGCATGGAGGGCATGGTTTCATTTCCTGCCCATTCATCTCTTCAACCAGCCAGGTTACCTGCCCAGACAAGCCAAACCCCAAAGGCCTTTTGCTAAAGGGCTAATCCCTCTCCCCTTAGAAGTACCTTAGCTAGAAATAAAAGGGGTGCTGGGGAAATAGTGTTCTAGGGCGAACGAATGAATCTGACACGTGGGGCGAGCAATGCGTTCAGTGGGGCCTTTAAAAATCACCATTATGAATTCTGCAGCAGTAGTTTCTGCTGAATCAACAGCCAGCAGAAAGCAAGAGGCTTCAGCAAGCTGAGCTTTGCCAAGAGGTGAAATTGTCGTTTCTCTCTCATCTTGTTCTGACATTAGCTTGAGTGCCTTGCAGGCAGGCAGGGAAAGTCAGCAGGTGGAATCTCATTCTGCCTTTTGTGTGTGAATAGAGAGTAAAGGTGTGTGGTTTTTTCCCCAAATGCCAAAACTTTTGCATTTTTGCTTTAATTTTCTGCCTGTAAACCTTAATCCTTAGTCATTCATCTGAAGTATGTAATTAAGACTCACATTTTAATGTCTATGTTAGAAAATGTGTATGAAAGTGCTTGTGGATACTGTAACAAGGCCTATTAATTATTCTTAGATGCAACATTTCTAAGGACTATTTAAAAATATGATTGTAAGAACTGAAAGAGTTGACACTCTTTAAAAAAAATTAAAAGACACATAAAATTTGGGGGTAAAGGTAGCATCTTCTATAAACATACCTTGAAGTTTAAGATAGAATACAAGAACATTGTTGCAAATAAATTCTCCATTCATCATCATTATCATCAAGCCTAATATGTTGATGGTGTTGGATAGATTAAGCAGAGTTATATGAGCTCTAGCCTCTAGGAGGTTAGAGATGGTTTTAAGACGTTCAGTTTATCTTTCCCCTGTACCAAGCACCATATGGCATCCTGGTGTGGTGCTGTAGGATAAGCACTAGACTGCTAACCACAAGGTTGGTGGTTCAAATCCACCAGATGCTCTTTGGAAATGCTCTTCAAGGTTGCTGTACCAAGCACCATACTTGCTGATTCTTTTTTACTTTTGTAATAAAATGTGCTTGTAAGATGTTCTGCTTCAATCTTAGGTCTTTGTCACTTATGCCCTTACCAGGTAGAACATGACTAGCTTTATATTTGAGCTCCAAGAAAGAAATTGTTCTTGAGTCTGTTGGATTTTTTGGGACATTTCTGTCTGCTTATGCTTACAAAGAATGAAAGTTGACTTGTAAATTGCATTATGCCCCAAATCATAGGCAAAGGAAACTTAGCAAGCTGAGAAGATAGCCAAGTTGGGCTCATGTGTATAAGAGGTGCTCATTGTCTGTCTGTAGTCAGAAAAAAATGAGTTTAAAATTGCATGCTTTATTGCTTTTAGGACCCTAGGTACTACATAATTTGTGTTCCAATTTTGTAGTAGTTTTGTAAACTCTGAAATGAAACATGAATTTATAGCAAAGAACTCTGCTTTCTGAAGTCTTACTGATGTGTGAGAATCTGTCTCTCTCACACACACAGAGAGCTACCCAAACCTTTATTTCGCAGTAGGTTTCCAGGTTTCTTTACCTGTTCTTAGTGATGGCATGGGAAAAGGGGCGGGGAAGGAATTTGTTGTTGTTGTTAAGTGCCTTGGAGTCAGTTCCGACCCATAGCGACCCTGAACAGGGTTTCCGAGGTTGTACATCTCTACAGGAGTAGAAAGCCTCCTCTTTCTCCAGCGGAGCAGCTGGTAGTTTCGAACTGCTGACCTTGTGATTTGCAGCCCGATTCGTAACCACTACGCTGCCAGAGCTCCTTACCCAAACCTTTATTTCACAGTAGGTTTCCAGGTTTCTTTACCTATTCTTAGTGATGGCATGGAAAAAGGGGTGGGGAAGGAATTTAGACAATATAAATAGCAGAAGAAATTAGGAAAAGCAGGAAGTTCTCCTTAGCCTACTCATAGAGAGCAATTATGCTGGCCAGAGCTTTAAGAATCCATGCCATTCTGATGCATACCTTAGAAAGTGCTGGTATACCTTCAAAGAGCACCAGAAGATCAAAATATTCTATGTTAAGTGAATCTTCATTGTCCTCTTTTCCTAAAAGCTATCTTCTCCCTCATTAACTGAAACCCATTTACTGGGGAAACAGCTTCTAAGTTCTCTTATAACCCTTGCTTTTCTTTTAGTTTCCCTTTATATTTTTGCATTTTCCTCCCATCTGCTCAGAGATAACAGGTTTGTTTTTTTTGTTTTGTTTTGTTTTTCCGCCAGTGTCTCCTTTGCATGTATCTCAGAACTCTTCTCTTTGCTCAGATCACTCCACACTGCAGTGTTCTATTTAAAGCTGAAACATATTTTGCTGTGTGGTTAGTGTGAAGGACTCTAAGCTCAATTTGCATTGTAAGTGGTAGCTGCAGGCAAGTTCATCCAGCTAAGAGCAATGCAAATGCTAAAGGACACTTTTAGCTAGGCTTTTTCTCTTTCTTTCTCCTTCTCTCAAAACCCATGTCTGTGATATGCATTTGTTAAGAATTTTCCTATTACTCCTGGTTTTTTATTCTGGTCATTCAGATTGCTACCCTCCCCTTTTCATTTTTCCTTCCTTGTTTAAGTTACCATTTTTGAGTGTGGTGCCTTGGGCTAATGCGCTGGACTGCAAAGACGGTTTGAACCACAAGGTTCAAGCTCACCAGCCGCTCCTTGGAAACCCTACACAGGGGCACTATGGGTCAAGAAGAACAACTATGTTATAGGACCATGCTGAGCTCTTTAAATGTAACATCTGAATGTACCAAGCCCTGCTAGATGGATGTCATTTCCATTTTAAATAAGGAAACTAAGGTTACTTAAGCCCAGCCTGAGATACTGCTAAATGGTCAAGGTCACACAGATAGCCAGTGGAAAAGCTTGTCTTTGAGCTCAAGATAGCCTTCTGGATCCCAGGCTCCTTCACTAGGAAATTCTAAACTGCCTCATTTTCCTGGAAATACCAGCCCTATTATGGAGAAAATCACAATGGCTTTTGCTTTGGGAGTAACGTGTGCTCCTATATAGGGTAAAATTCTTTAAAAAGATCATTTAAAAACATGTATGGCATAATATGTGAACAAGAGCATTGGGTGGGATTGCAATGACTGTAAACATAAAGTCAACATAATGGACTCATTGGCTTTTTCAGATATGGGACTCTGTTTCCTAATCAAGGATTCATCTCTCACGTATATCTGATCTCTGTAGATGTAAAGTTCTGTTTATATTTTTAGACTTCTGTTGGAACCAAGGAAAACCCTCACCCCTTTAGAGCAGGCTATGAGCTTTTTTGATCAAGCTTTCTACTTTCAAATGGGACGTACACAGAATATATATGATGAGTTTAGAGGAGCAGCAATCTGGTTAGAAAGAGACAATGGGAAATGTGTTTGGAAATAACTGCTCTGTTCTCTGTTTCTTTACTTGTCTAACAAGGAAATTATTTAATACCAGGAAAACCTGAAGTAAATCCTTTCAATAAATTATAGTTGTTACATAAACTGTATTTACATAGCAAACAACCATTTTTCTTTGGATTGTGTGTTGATTTGGAATGTTCTTGAGGGGGGAAAGTCTAATGGACAGCCCCAGAAGAGGTCCTCATAACCCATCATGGTCTCCTTTTGGCCCATCTTCTAGCTGTAGCTCTTACTATTTAGTAATGTACCTTAATGTGTTTGCTAGTTATACTCTGGCATTGTAAGGTTTCAGAGGTCTTAGAAAGAAAGACAGTATAACTTTAGTTCTTCCATGATGCTCCTTTTAAGTATTGGTTTATTCTGCTTTTAATTAGAAAAGTTAATAACTTTATGCAGAAGGGATGATCCAGTAGGTTCCAAAACAGGTAAGGTCTCTGTCCTCATAGAATTTTCAATAGAGTAGAAAGGTAGACATTAAACAAATATTTATGCAAATACATAAGTAGTTACCAATTGTGATATGATGTTCAGGAGAGGCACAAAGTACTGAGACAGCATATACAAAGTGGTTCCAATTTAGATTCACGATTCAGAGACAACTTCTCAGAGAAACTTTGTATTGAAAACTGAAGGATGAGTTAGAAATTAACAATAATAGCAACAAAAAAAGGCCTGAAGGCATTTCAGGTAGAAGAATTAGTAGGTGTCAAAGCCCAGTGATATAGAATAGTCTGACAGATTGAAGGAATAGTAAGTTTAAACTGTGGCTGGAGTGTAGGCAGTAAGAGCAACAATGATGAAAATAAGATTGGAGCCTGCAGTTTGCTTTGGAATGCACCTAACGTAAAATAGATTAGCAGTTTGATGGAGAGAAGGATAAATGGATAGGTGTGTGACAAACTCTTAATGGTAAAAATCTAAGTGGCAGTGCTATTGATAGTCACTGTAAATGTTATCAACTTTCTGTCTGAATCTCCTCATCATGAAATGTTAGCAAAAGAAACTGGAGAGGTATTCAGGGGTCATATCACATCAAGTCTGTTGACCATAAGGGGTTTGGACTATATCCAAAAACGAATCGAAAGCCATTAGAGGATTTTGATCAGCTTTGTTTTT